AAGAGTGAGATTAAAACCATCACAGACTGACGATTTGAGTCGGCTTTCTTTGGATGGTGGCTCAACACCCTCACTCTTCTCTAATCTATCAATCAAACATGAAAAGTTCTAGTTCAACGTTGAATCCCCTTTCCTCACATTCAAAATGTTCCCTAATCCGAACATTTCAATAGCTTCTCTTATCTCCCCTTTAACTGTAACCGTACTATAGTCAGGAAATCAACCCATTTAAGAGTATTCTTTCGCATGTTGAAGTACCTATCATTACTTTCAGAGTAAAAAGTATTCGTAAGCTGCCTCGCCGGAAGCTGTAGGGGGATTGCCTTGCAGCTGTGACTCTAGATTTGTGCGAATAGATCCTCGGCGCAACTCTCTGCGACCCAGATGAACATGTGCTGAGCTGACTTCCGTATTCTTAAGGACAGCACCAAGACAGGATACCATGTTTTATGATAATTCACCGAGCACAAAGACGAGAAATGTTTCTAGTTGCAATCCTACCCACTTTTTATGGTTTAGCTAGGTTTACTCAGTGATACATCTTATGCTTTGATAGGATTTCCTTTGCCTCTTCTACATGTTATTGAAAAGTTAAGTACATGCGGATGACATGTGAAGTGGCTGAAAATGGAGAGAGAAACCGATGCAATTGTGACTGAATATCAGCATCCTCCTTTAAATAATTTATATTTTGTATCATATAATGTTGCCGAATGTGATTGCGTTCTATTGCATGTGCATTGAGTGCATGCAATGCTCATGCCACGCGTGGTGTGTACGAGTGAAAACCAGATTTGAGACTCACGTGTTAACGCGAGACTTTTACAAGAATGACACCCAGCTCTGATAATGTCCATCATATGATGGACGAAAGCTCAGCACGTTTTCACTCAAAACGAGGGAGGAAGTCCCGTGGACTACATCAACATGAATATCGTATAAAATCCAAACAGCTGCAGTACAACGAGATTCATCCATCCTCATCTAGTGAGATCGACCAACGAATCTCTTCTTCATGCACTTTCATTCGAAATTAGTTTTCTTGGTTATAGTGTAGCGAGAAGACAATTACAAATAAGTTGAACCATACGAACATTGTAGATAGGAAAAATAACTGCGTTTTGATTAATCAACCAATATAATAATTTTGGGGAGACTTTAAGTTCATATGAAAATGCAGGATAAAGAGATTAAAGACCGATCTCAGCAGAAGACGATGGCTCAATGCTGTCGTACTGCAACCGTTTGCCTTTAATACAACATGCAATTTGACGAAGTCCACGAGACATCCTCCTTCGTTTGGAATGAAGGCAGGCAGAGATTTCGTCTATCATATGATGGACATCATCAGAGCTGGAACTCATTCTAGCAAAAGTATCACGTTGGCACTGGATCAAAAAAACTGTCCGGCTCTATCCCACCTCTTGAATCACTTATAAATGGGATTCCTTTCGTTTATTTAAAAATTTACTTTATAGGGCTGTAGAAAAGCTTCATAAATTGTTATATCATTAAACATCAGAGGCTTCTGGAGAGCATTTGCCATAAATTTGGAGGCATCCTGTGATTCTAGTTTCTTCTGAATTAGCCTTCTATATAGTATTCGGTTTAATTCGTTAGGATAAAATGTATACACTAAATAAATAAGGAACACGTGGTACTTGAGCTCTAGGACTGAGTATCGATGATTGAGATTATATCAGTGTAACGAAAATTTAGAACTTAAAATTAAGTATCTGACCACATATTTTTTTAAGACTAGTTTCATGTAATTGTCATATCTAAACCATGTGTGCCTTTATTTCTAATTGTCTTTACAGTCAAAAAAAGCATCAGCAGAAACCATCGATTCCGGAATAGCTGAAGTAAAGGCTCAGGTCTTGACTAACTGTATGATGCAACAGAATGGGCTCTCTTGCTTCACTGATGGAAATTACCTTTCGCCCCAGCCTCAATCGGATGAGCCTGGCTCGATAGCCAACCTCGTACTAACCGAAAAGTTAATTTCAAATGCCATTCTCGAGCCGCGCATTGTCAAAAGTAACCATATTGGAAGCTATTTGAAAAGCCTGCAAAAAAGTGAGTATTGCAATCCTGTTGTCAGCAAAACTCGAGATCTTGGAGTTCCGGGAGGTCCCTTCAAGTTACATGACAATCAGAGTGTATTAAGAATGTGCCCACAAATAGTTTCTTCCTCCACCTCCAGTTTAACAATGGAAGCCAATTGTACCATGGCCAGAAAGTCGCTTCTGTCTGACAAGGGATTTGCAAAGACTAAATCTACTGGAAGTGCGGGTGTTGGTTATAATAATATCAGGTCATGTGCTTCCAGAATAGCGACACAGCAAGACTTGAGCCGACAGCATCCAATTTTTACATTTCATCATCAGCAAGGCACTCCAGTACGTCCACAACACAGTCTCGAGCGATCACAAAATGATCAGACGCCCTCTGACTCAAATAATCCCATTTTGCGTAGTCAAACTTACAATTTCGAGGCAGTGCCCCAAAATTTATCCGATACCAGTGTAATTAGACGTGAGCTTTCGAAGTTTGGTTCAAACCATTGTAAGCTTCTCCAAAATGAGAATATAGATATCAAAAATGGTGGAAGCAAACATGCGAGAACAGCGATACGAGAGACAAACATAAGTCGCTATGTCGACAGGCCAGTAATTCCGACGGAAAACTTTACTCCCTATATTAGTCGGTTGACTTCGGCTGTCTTAGGAGGAAGGAATTATTCTTCTGCTTATGCGATCAAGTCTACTGGGAGGAAGTTAGCATAATTTTAAAAAGGTAAAAAATTAAGCATGATATACTAAGCTGTACGTAAAGTTACATTGGCTGCTTCAGATCGACTACAAAATCTCATTTAGTTCCTTTATTTACAACGTTATCTTTATATGTGAACTTGACTAATTGCTAAATCAAATCTGCTAAATATAAGTTATTAAGTGTATGGCTGCCTTTGCTTCCATCAGAGATGAATTGTCAAATCAAGGCATTTATAAAATCAAAATATGCTCTTTTCATCAAGAAAATTTTTTAACTATGAGCTAAAGGTTTTATATTTTTCTGAAAGTTTCAAGAAATGGAGCCCACGATAAAAAAAACATTTTTAAAGACAATTTCACTTTAGGCCTCTTTGTGAAAACTGTTTCGAATAAATTTGAGTTTTCCTGTTGTTAAGCGTAGATATGTATAAGTACAACAATTGAAGAATAATCGGAGAGAAAAGATAAATAATGGGTAATTCTCTTCAGTTAAGAAGATATTATTATCATGCTGAAAAGTTAGAATAAGGGTCAGGGAAAAAAAGATATCCTATTGTGCTTTAAATGATAAACGTTAGCTCTATTCATATCATTGTGGGAAAATTCAACTACCAGTCCTTCATCACTTTTAGCAAAATATGGTGAACAAAAAGGTCTATCTATTTCAGGAGAACTTTCTATTTAAGAAAGTGCCTAATGGAACATTTGCATTAAAGAAATTTGTTGCGCAAAATAAGTCTAATAATACAAAATGGTACTTGTTAAATCAATGGAAGGGTGAATAACTATATATGCATACCTATCTTCTGAAAATGGAACTTTGTTACCAAAGTTTAACACCAGCATGCTTATTTCTTCGCCGCAAAGTTGAATTTTACGCAAAGTAAGAATGACAGGTGCAATAAAACTATTTGAAATATGGTTGAAGGAGTTTACATGATTATTAAATTCTTCTGAAAAGAAAAAATAGAATAGTAGAGTAAAAATTTTATATCCGAATTAACAGGAAAAATAATAAGCACGAATGAGTTCGGAAAAATTAATGAATGCATTTCAGAGTATCTCGTGAGCCAGATTTTTATTCTGAATCTTATTGAATCCAGAAACATACATTAATTTTAATGCTAAAGTACCTATTATTTCGTTTGAAAGGGTTTCGTAAGTTGGCTACCCAGAAAGCTGTGGATCTATTTTAGTTTATTTGCGCGAATGGATCTCCGGCGCACCGACCTGCGACCGCGATGAATCTTAGCTGACCTTTCGTCCGTTACGTGACGGACATAGTCAGGGAAGGGCAACGTACTTTACGATAATTCACCAAGCACAAAGACAATAGAGGTGGCCGGCTGCAATCTTACCTACTTTTTATAACCTTGCTATATCCACTTAGCGAGGCATCCTATACATTTGTGGGATATTCTATGGTCTTCATACTGTTTAAAAGCCAAGTGGCTGTGGATGATATGTGAAGGGGCTGCAAATGAAGCGTAAATGGGATGCTATTTTGAACGAACAGCTGCATCCTCCTCTGTAGCACTGAGATTTTTTGCTCCTGTAATATTGTCACATTTTAGTATTTTCCATTGCATATAAGTTATGTGCATTCAATCTTATTTTCACTCTCACACACAACTCGTGGCATGAGCATTACATGCACACAACACACATGCAATGGAACACAATCACGTGCGGCAACATTATATGATAAAAAATATAAATTATTTAAAGGAGGATGTTGATATTCAGTCACAATTGCATCCATTTCATGCTCCATTTTCAGCCACTTCGCATGTCATTCGAAGGTACTTAACTTTTCAATAACATTTAGGAGAGGCAAAGGACATCCAATCAAAGCATAAGATATCTCATTAAATAAACCTAGCTAGACTATAAAAAGTGGGCAGGATTGCAACTAGTAAACATTTCTTGTCTCTGTGCTCGGTGAATTATAATAAAGCATGGTATCCTGCCTTGGCGCTGTCCTTAAGAATACGGACGTTAGCTCAGCACATGTTCATCAGGGTAGCAGAGTTGCGCTGAGGATCTATTTACACAAATCTAGAGTCACAGCTTCCGGTGAGGCAACTTACGAATCCTTTCTAGTCCCCTCTCCAAAAGTAATGACATTTTCTCCAATATAAATCCATTAAAGGATTCTTGGAAAACCACTTTTCTCTATATAAATTAATTTTAGCTATCTCCAAGTATATTTCATTAAAAATAATTAAAAATTAAAAATGATTTAATTTAAAAATATGTATTAGACTTTTATTATTAAAAAATGTTTCATAATGATATTATACATAGGAAAGCTGTTATTTTCTCAAACTGGTAACGTTTTTAAGGCAAAAGTTTATGTTAAATCTAGAGGATGCAATATGTGGCAAATGGGAGCATTTATTTCAAAAATATTGGCCTTCCCTTGAGGTTGTTTGGACAGGCGACTAGAAGGGATTTTTAAATTGACCTCACCAGAACCCGAATGAGGATTGTCTTGAAGTCGTGATAGTTGATTTGGGCCAAACATTTCTTGAAACACCTTCCCACCGTACGGTAAATATTTGCGGTGTTTTCTTCTGTCATATATCAGACGAAGGCATAGGATAAATCCATCCTTTACGATGATCCACCAAGCACAAATGGACCAAAGTTGGCTGGTTGCAATACCCTGTATTTTTTCACCTAATGAGACACTTCATTTCTTGATTGGTCGTTATATGCTTTCCCTAC